TTTTTTCCTATTATCCTGATGTACAGTAAATGCAACATTAACACAGTCATCAGGATGTCTGCTAAATAGCAAATGTACTAAGGCGGCTTGAAAATTTTAATGTCTTTTATTAATTAATTTTATTGGAATGGTTTTAGTAGTCAACACATCATCACTTTACTTAATCCCGCTTTCCAAAAAGTCCCTTTATATTAGAGTCTGCTCCTCCTGTATGTTCAGATTTTGATTCAGAGCTCATCAAACCTGGATCTTGATTTCATTTTCATTTATCCTAATTTCTATCACATTTAAAACTTCTGCTACAGGGGAGTAGTGCCCTGGTACATAAGGACCTATAGGGAAATGTACATTTTCCGTTATAAAATGGCTGTTTAAAAAAAAAATAAATAAAATTTTTCTTATTAAATCTACCTCTGCATGAGGGCAGGCATGGTCACAGAGGACACGTTGTTGCTGTTAAATATCTAAACATAATCAGTTACAAGCCTTTAAAGCATCCTGCCGTTCTCTTTCCAGTAAGTTTACTCCACTGTGGTTAAACCGTCCAGAGAGAGCTAGGCAGGGGGAAAAAAGCACCGAGTCATCTATCAGACTGGTTAATCTGGTCCTGTCCCTCCAGTAAATTATTCATCATACCTATGTGTCTTTGTCCGGAGAGAAAAAGATCACTGGAATGAATGGACACACCCGTTTAATCTCTTTTTTTCTTCACTGTCTTGTACAAAGACAGACATGCAGTTGTTTAGTTTTGAGGAGAAGCTGACGGTGGTTACCTGCCAAATGTTGCTGCAGGCGTTTGAGCTTTGGATTCGTTGAAAATAATATGATATTTCAAAATGTATCACCTCACATCCTGAGAATCTGACTTCATGTTGCTGGCAGTCATATCTAATACTTGAACAATACAGAACATTTCAATAAGCCAAAGAGTGGAACTGAAACATCTTTTCACGGCGATATCTTGAGTCTGAAACTAAGTGGTGCTCCGCTTAAAAAGGGCAGACGACTAATTCATCTCCTCAGCTCTTAACAGAATGATTAAAGGTGTCACCGAAGCTGAGAAATTTCTAACCATCTGGCCCGTGGTCAGTGTAATGGTGTGAGTAGAGAGGCTGGGTTATAAATGGAAGAGTGTCATTTATCTTTTTGCACTTCTTACAAGGTCTTTAATCACATTGTCCACCTATGACACTTTCAGAGGGCTGAAGACATTCATCCTCAGGAGGAAAGCCTGTCGGTCTGTAGAGATTTGTCTTAATAAAGGTAGCTGTGTGTGTGTGTGTGTGTGTGTGTGTGTGTGTGTGTGTGTGTGTGTGTGGTGGTGACATATATATAATCTACATCTTGTCTATTTTTTTTAACCCATCAAAGCTGTGTTGTCTCATAAGTGAAAATATCTTCACAGCAGGCGGATCGCTGCACAGGGGACATTATTATTTAGTAGAAACAGATTGAAATTTTCTCAGATATCATCACTGTTTTGAAAAAATTGGTGTTTCAATAGTCAATAATTGTCAAAAATTGCTTGATAACATGAATATTTTCCCAGTGTACTTATGTACTCTTTACCAAATTTTAATTAAAAGTTTTCTCCGCCCAAAACACACAAACACACACACACACATATTAACAGAGCACAAATTATGAGTCATAATTATCAACATGTTGTGCAACAAAGTCACCACAACTGTACTTAAAATATTAATTTAGGAGAGTGTGAATGCATGCGTGTGGTCACCAGTGTTTGTCCGTAATGTCTTTAGCTGATTAAACGGAGTATTCATGATAAAATAAATACCACACACGATTAGGAATATTCCATGACTAGCAGCAAAAAGAAAATGCATATGTTGTTCTACCAACAGTCACGGTCTTTCACCGCGGTCAGTGTAAACTTTCCACAATATCATCTGCTAAAAGCCTCAAGTGTAAATGTCTGCAAACAGCTTTCATCTTTCCCAGTGATGCACAGAGCTCTAGGGAGGAGGTCCTGTTGTCTGTTGTTCAGCCAAAACTGTACAACACTCTTTTTTTTTTCCTACCAGCGAAGCGAAGCCTCAAAGTAAAATACTTTGCTTTAATCTGCTTAGACTGGGCAGACAGGGTCCATTATGACTAAACATAGCGTGGTCAAATCAAAGTGACCTTAATTGTTCATCTTTTAAGTAAATGTGACATTGTAAATTATGTTCATTTAAGCTTTGGTGTCAGGAATTTGAATTGACTCAGGTCTTGCTTAGCTCTATTTATCAAAACACACAAACACAGTTACAAAGCAAGTACAAAGTAAATACATGAGAGATAATCAATATCAGGCGTGTAACATTTGACATGGTTTAGTTTTTGTGCAGAGATGAAATGGTTTCAGGCTCCAATATAAGTTATAACAACGGAATATTTTATTTATCACGATGCTGTAACAGCAGTTGCAAATTGGCTCAGATGAGGAGCACGGCCTCTGCTTCAGTGTGTCAGAGCGAGCTGAGGGTACGTTTGGCTGTTTAGACGACGAATAAACAATTTCAGGCATTAAATTAAAAACCGGCCTCACTGTGTTGTACAGTTGTCACATCAGTGCAGATTGTGTGTTTTGCCATTGCAAATGTTTTCCATTTCCTCTGCAGAGATCATGTACATTATCTGTGTCAGGGACTCACAACACTCACTCACACTTTTTGTCTGTACTTTGGGAGGCCAATTGTTGCTGCTGTTACTGTTATATATTTTTATTTTTATGAGTCTAAATTATGTTGACTGTGTTTCAAAGCAAGTAAGGTGTCCGAGTAGCCTCATATAATCGGTGAGACTGAATGGTAGCTCTCTAATCTACCAGGTTTTTAAATATTTAAACACTTGATTTTGCATATTATTTTAATTTAAGTCTGTTTGATAGAAAAAAAAAATCGACCAGCGCTCCCTTTGGAGGCTAATTTCCATCTGTTGTCCTTGGCCAGTTGTCAAAAAGACACCTTAAAACGGAGAAGAAGAATATATTTGCATGTGTAACATAATAAGTATGCACGAGATAGTACAGTACATGTTCCACCTCTGAATAATGCCACAGTACAACACATGGTGTTTTAGACAAATAAGAAAAAAAAACAGGAGGAATCACAGATCACACATGATCGTGGATTACTTTAAAAAGCTGTTATTTATTTATTGTTTTAAACCTTTGCACTTAAACATAATTTCTTGTATTGTTTTGCCTTTGTGTGCAACCAAAATGTCGAAGGAGAAAGAAATAAAATTCTGGCTTAATAACAGCGGGAAGATCATCTCTGGACTGTAACTTCGTGTGTATTTTTAGTCAAAATCATAGCCTGACATTTCCTTTGTTTTTGCTGATGCTGCTTAGAGAGAGAGAGTGTGTGTGTGTGTGTGTGTGTGTGTGTGTGTGTGTGTGTGTGTGTGTGTGTGTGTGTGTGTGTGTGTGTGCGTGTGCATGCGTCAACAGCCAGATCCAGAAAAGGGCCAGAAAGTCTGGAAGGAAAGCAGGAAGCTGCAGTGACGGTTGACATTGTACACAGATGTTTATTAAATACAAGGTCTTGTGGCAACGAAACAACATATTGTTTTGTCTAGACTTGTGTTTGTGAAGGCAGTAATTGTGTCTGTGCATTAAAGTATGTTTTTAATATAATTAGGAAAAGTTAAGTCGCCTCGACCTTGGGAACTTCACAGGACAACACCTGATGTGCAGAATTCATACCGATTGATTTTGTTTGTACTGATGCAGATTTCAGAACAGAAAGGAAAACTATGTTGGTCGGCCCTAGTGTAGTGAACGATGGAGATCAACAAGGAACATTAGGCAACTTAGGTGTCAGTTCAGTTGTATATACTGCAGCACCAGCTGATATTTGTCATACGATCTTGTAATTGTTAAACTGGTCTGAACTTTACTGTCACTGACAGGAAAGGGACAAAGGGAGGATTACATGGAGGTTTACGACTGAGCTTGTTTCTTCATCCAGTGTTGTAAAGTCTGAATTGACTGAGCCAAAAAAAGCAGAAGAATAGCAGAGAAGATTATGATAGAAAATTGGTTATTGTGCTTTCCCCATGTGGTAGTATAACCCAACAACAAAAATGGCAAAATATCTGTTTTGATAAAAAATAAACTCTTTTTAGTTTCGTTTTTTTAGTTTTAGATTTTATACTAATGGTATATTCACGTCTTTACTACAAAGAGCTTTGTGCTTTACTGTGTTATCTTTGACTGGTGTTTGGTTGTAGCATCTTTTAAGGAAAATATTACTATAAATATAAATATAGATTTTTTTAAATTTATTTATTTATTTATTTTTTACTAAACAAACAAAGGTGGCAGTGTTTCTTTTTTTTAGCCCTTGGTAGTGTAGCCTGAGAGCCTGTATGTAGCCTGAGAGGCAAAACTGGGGACAAAAACTTGCTCCTACTCCTTTAGCTCATTATCAACATCTTTATCAACTCAGATTTTCTCTCATCTGGACTTTAATGGCAGAACAGTGAGAAAAAAATAGATACTTTAATAAGAAAATCAAGCTGAAACAATAAAAGTGAGGAGGACAAAAGTTGGATTTTAGGATGTTATGTTGTTTTATTATATTCTAGGCTTTTAATCGTATTACGACACACACAGGCAGTACTGGACAATCTGAGGAATCTTGATAAATTGTTGTCCATGATGTTCCTTTTGTCAGCTTTATATTTGGAGGGAATTGAAATGTGCTTCCTTCTCTGCAGGTTGGCAAAAAACACATTTTTATTTGAGGGCAATAAAAGCTAAATAGTTTGTGCTTCACTGTGTGCCGTTCCAGCCCGTTGTATTTTAATTGCTCACAGTAGGGCTGTAATCAGTTAACAATGCCCGATGATACCTGATCACCCCTTAATCCAATGTGCCACCTCATGTTCTCAGATTTATTATGCTATTTTCCTCCATTTACGTTCATTCTCTGTGTTTTTTGCTTTCTTTTCCTGCATCCTGACAGTGTTTTTCTCTTGCTCTTCTCCAGTTGAGATGTTGCTGAGTCAGTTTGGGGTCATGACATCATCATCATGAGATGGGGAGCCTGGTGAACAGTGACCGCAGGCGGCGACAGAAGAGGTGGTGCTGTGTGTTGCGTTTTGCAGCTGCTGGTAGTTGGCAAAAAAAAAAAAAAAAAAAATTGTCAACTCCCTTTTTTTTTTTCTTGGCAAAAAAAACCCCCCAAAAAACAATCTGTCAACTCCACAGAATTTTTTTCTTTGCCAAGAACCTCAGGGAATCCTTTGCTCCAGTGTTGAATGGAAGAACAAATTCTCAAGAGATTTGAAGAGGCAGTAAGTCAGATTTTTATTGCTGCATTCCACAAAATGACCATAAAACACCTGCAGGAGGTTGGTAATCGTCCATGTTCTGAGGTCTTTTGGCCAAACCGTCTTTCCGGCTTGTGGGTTGTTTTGGAGCAAAATCTCCACACCCAGTGAAGTAATGCTGATGCTGTTGAAACCCTGACTGGTGGTGACCACAGCTACTAACACACAAGTAAAAGATTAGCCTCTGGGGTCCATCTATTCACCAGTGATTGTACTGGGTAGGTTTAATTTACAGTAACATAACTTTATTTATATATGATGTAGAGACAAGCTGAGAATATCTCATACAGTCTCTCATTCATCTCTGTAGATCGTAACAAGTGATTTATAGACATACATAGACTTTCAGTGAAAGAGGCACAAATGAGTTTGGATAAAATCATTTTACATGTAAATAAACTGTATATTAATTTTATTTCTTACATTTTTAAATCTGATAAACAGACATCCTGCTGCTTAACAAGTTCATTATAGTGAAATAAAAGTTTTTGAAGCGTCCATTGGCCTTTAATGACTGAATGAATTTGTTCTTCCTCTCTGTATGTTGCAGCTAATGCACCTCGCCTTTTATCTGATCATTAATTAATTGATCATTTTTAATATTTTATATAATTCATCTGCTAATTATTTCCTCAATTAATCATTCAGCCTATTAAATGAATCCAGAGTTGACGTCCTCAGATTGTTCTGTCTAACATACAGTCAAAACTCAAAGATTCACTTTATCACAGGAGACAAAAATCTCAAATCCTCACGATTTAGACGTTCGGATCAGCGAATGATTGACACTTTTTTTATTTAAGTGATTAATCAATAATTAAATCAGTTAATCTAATTGATTATTAGATCATTATTCTTTTTCTGTCAGCCATCTAATTGATTTATTAACTAATCATTTCAACTCTGACATTAGTTGAATGTCAGCTTCCTGCCTTCCTCCATAGACTGTCAATACACTTTAGCAAACAAAGCCACTAACTCCCTATTAACTTATTTTCAGTTTATGCACACAGAAACACGAAGAGTTAAATAAAGCTATTATAAAGTTGTATTTATTTTTCCTGTATCAGAGGCTTCACATGGAGGTATTTAAGGACGACTCAGCACTTCCTCAAAATTGTAACTATAACATGGCTGCTTGTGTGTTTTGGCAGTGGAAGAGCTACAAACTGGCCTGATTGGACTCATTTCAGTGACTCTGTAGCAAGTGGAGCTGAAAGGATCAAGTCCAGCTGTGATACATGTGTGTGAATAAATGTGAAAAAAAGAATGGATAGTATTTAAAAACTTCAAATCTTTAACGATCATTAAACTTGTTCGAAAATATTTAAATAATTTGAGGAAAATTAGATTCTAATAATAGGATCCCCAACAAAAATAATTAAAACATAAAGCATGTTAACTACATCCCCAGGTATCATACCTTTCATATAAGCCGTAATAAAAATGTAATTAATTAATTATATTTGAAGAGTTGTGACTGGGTTTCATATGATCACTAAACCGCTGGCTGAGTGAGACTGGTGACTAACTCTGCAATGTTTTAAAACTATCACCAGGTCATAATTTATGGGTTGAGTGAGTTTCATGACCCTCAGGCTGTTGTCACACATTAAAACCGCATTGTTAAATTTCAAACATAGTCAGTGTAAACATGCATCATTCCTGAAAAATTTACTTTGCCCAAGCATATTTTCCCTTCGGAATTGTGAATTTCTCTTTGTCCTGCAATGAACCAATTTTTCTGTCTAACAAAAAAAACAAAAAAAAACAAAACAGGTTTTGAGCCTGAAAAAAGAGAAGTTTTGTGAAATTTGTCTTCTAGCACTCTGTAAGCAGGAACAGTTAATGATTTTAACAGGGTGAGAGAACCAGCATGAAATACTGCAGTGGTCACTGAGAACATGTCCACACTAATGCAAATCTGTAAACAGCTTCTTTCATTTCATCAAGCACAGAGAACTGCACTTGTCAAAAGTCCTGACCTGTGGTGTCACATTTTATGGTCAGATGATCCATTTTAGAGACTTGCTGTTCTGTAAACGACACAAATCTCCAATATGATCAGCAAACTATTTTTTAGGAAACAATTGTGTGTGTGGATAAGACACACTTGGCACACTGATGTCATTTTCATGACTTAATCTGCATTAGTGTGATCATGACCTGAGACAGAAAGGAAGGGGAAAACAGGTGAACTCATGTGAACACGTGTCCATAATCTATAATACATACATTGTATTTAACAGATATCTGAAATGTGACAAGGGGCACCAACCTAACTGCTTTTTTGTCACAACCCACAGACATTGGTTTGCACTGTATTTTCTAACCTTATCATTTTTTTTTTTATGTAAAATCTTAACATGAAAGAAACTACAAGGTGTTGGTTAGAGCCCCTTGTCAACTTCGAGGTGTGTACAGTTGACGTTTATTGGGAGGGGGACTTCAAGTGACCCATGTGGGAACAGTCTTGCCAGTGGCCTCCAGGTAATTTAAAGGCCCCTGATTTAGGAGCGTGTCTGTGTTTCTTTTTAAGATAGATAGATATTTTGCTGTTCTCACAGCAGCTTGTAGACAGCCTCAAGAAAGCAGAGAGATCGAGGGTGAGAGAAAAAGATGCTGAACCAAAACAAGGAAGGCAGTCAGACTGTGTGTGTGTGTGTGTGTGTGTGTGTGTGTGTGTGTGTGTGTGTGTGTGTGTGTGTGTGTGTGTGTGTGTGTGTGTGTGTGTGTGTGTGTGTGTTAGTGTTTGAAAGACAGTGTGTGAACTAGGAAGAGAGGAACAAAGATCGAAAAGAAAAGAGTGCGTGTGAAAGAGAGCAAGACGGGGTGAGTTAGGGAGAGAGAGAAAGAGGAGGGGAGATATATTTGTCTGCCTATAAAGCACAGCACGCTTCTCATTTTGATTTCTGGACCTGTCGAGTAAAGTTTAGCAGAAGTGAATCCTGACTGTAAGAAATGATCACAATACACCAATAAAACATCTCAAACTGAGGAAGTTGTCTGTTGTTGTTGTTTGAAGGAGCACAACGAAACTACACTTCATGTTTCTGTGAAGTACATTCAGGGCGTGTTCACAGGAAAAATAATTCAAAACAGAGGTGTGCAGTGAGAATTTGCCATCTTTGTACTCATCCAGTGAAAATATGTCAAATGGATAGGTTGCAGAAATTGCTTCATCTTCTATGTCTGACAGACATTTCCTCCATTAGTCAGGATGTGCTGCCTCCTCCTTCTTTTTCTAATGGCTCTGCTTTTGGTATCTGTGATGGATGAAGTGCAGCTGTAGTTTCCAGTGATGCTCATAATCAAGTTGTACATAAACTCCTAACCACATGGTGAGACTTTTTGTTTTCTATACAATGCTACAGAGCACCAAAACTATACTCAGAGTTATTCACATTTACAACTCTCAGCTGGATTTTAGAATATAGTATGAAACCTAAATGGACAGAAAGTGTAACAACACGTCATGTTTGATTCACACAAAAAATAAAGTGTGCTCACACTTTGAAAATGGACACTTTAGCCCTTTACCTAACAATACTAACTGAACATTTTCAGTACGGACAGACACAATGGGAGTCGAGACAGTGTTAGTGCTAAAATCAATACATTTGAGTAACAGTCTATGACGTGTTTAGACAATAGTTTTTTTTAAACAAAATCTCTCTTTCATCAAATGTCAGTCACTCAATCTCTTCTCTTGTTTTTCACTGCTAAGTAAACAAACACATTTTATTTTTCCTCAATTAAACATGTTAGGTTAGCAGTAGCAGGAAACAGCCTGTTTTTGCTGACCTGCATTAGTTTAGTTTTCATACCTTGCTGCAATGATGTGGAAGTACAATATAATTGAGGATGTGTCACTTCTGACCACACCCAGCAGAGGAGCAGCAAACTTTAAACTTTCAAACCAGAGATAGCGGTTAAACACTGCTTTCTGGTATTAAAGGAACAGTTCGACATGTTAGGAAATGCTGAATTTGACCTCTCATGAAGCGCTAGATGAAAGGATTGATACCACTCATGCCTGTACGGTAATGATGAAACTAGCTTAGCTTAGCATAAAGACTGGAGACAGGAGGAAACAGCTAGCCTGGCTCCACAAAGGTAACAAAATCTACCTACTAGCACCTCTAAAACTGCCTAATTAACATGTCCTATCTCATTTGTTTAATCCATACAAAAACTGGCCTTTTTATTGGCTGAATTCCACCAGTTTCTAGTTTCTTTGCTTATCTAACTCAAATAAGCGTCCCAAGAAAGGATACCACGTTTTTTCATCTTATATTTGAACACATTTTCATTACATCAGACAGCCTATTCTTTTTGAATGGAGAGAGTACGTGTAACAAGAGGGTTGCATTATGGGTTTTTGTAGACTTAATACTACTAGGCTAGCAAGCGTTTACAAGTCCATCTGTACTGAGTCTCTCAGAGTTAGTCAGCCCTAAAAGTGTTTAACCTGCAGGTTACGAGTAAAAACAAGATGATAGTGTCTCTTGACATCTTTACAGCAAAAATAAACAGGGAGAAAATCTGGGAAACAGCCAAAAATCACAGCTGTCACAGACAAAAATACATTTTAAAAAATGCTACAGTGACTCTGTCAGCTGGCTGGTGGCTACACACAGAAACTGACCTGCCTATAGACTTACGACTGAACAGAAAATTGTGGTAAGTTGCCAAGCGATGTTACATTGTGGCTTTGGGAGGATGAGAAAATTTCTGTTCAAATCCGTGGTAAATCGTAAATGGACTTGCACTTGTACAGTGCTTTTCTAGTCTTACTGACCACTCAAAGCAATTTACAATACTTGCCACATTCACCCATTCACTCACACTCATAAACTGATGGAACAGCCATCAGGGGCAACATGGGTTTCAGTAGCTTGACCAAGAATACTTCTACATGCAGCCGGAGGAGCCGGGGATCGAACCAGCAACCTTCTAATTAGTGAATGACCTGCTCTACCTCTTGATCCATGCACTACAAGCATCATTTTACTAATTTGCATCAAAACCCTCCAGAAACTTAGGGAAATTGCTGCTATTATGATCCCTGTCTGCTACATCTGCTTTAATGAAAAAAATGTATTTATCATTATTATTATTTCCTTTATTTTACCAGGAAGTCTCATTGTGATTTTGTGAAATCTCTTTTACAAGACAGATGTGGACAGGATGGCAGCCATATAAACACAACACATATTGAAATACAGCACAAAACATAAAATACCGCATATATGACATGACAGCAAATTGAGCTCAGGGGCTTATCAAGAAAAACAAGTCCATGTCTCATTTACCACATTGCACATTAGTTTAATTGGGAATGCTGTCTTTTTTATGCCTTACTGTACTATGATGTTTTATGCCTTTCTATACTATGACATTTTTATGGCTTACTGTCACAACCCAGGTATAAAGCCATGACAAAAACCAAGGGAACGGAGTGTGGACAAACAATAATAAATTTATTAACAACAAAGTGATGTATCTAACACAAAAGAAGTAAGATAAACTGTGAGGTGGGGACATCAGTATGATCAGTGATGTGGGTACATGTGTGCATAAATGGGATATATGAAGTGTCAGCTGTTGTCTGCATGAACACAAAATCAGAATATGCCGAAGAGCTGAGAGAGAGCCCAAAGACAGCATGTTGGAGCGACCTCTTATTAGGCTGGAACACTGGTTCTTCCGATCTAGGTGTAGCTCCGCCATCAAGACACCTGCTGCACAAACTGGAAAACAGAACAATCACTTAAATACAAATCACAATGACGGGCCAGAGTTCCGTCATACTTTTATGCCTTACTGTACTATATTTTATGCTTTACTAGACCATTACTTTTCATGCCTCACAATAGTATGATGTTTTTATGCTTACTTTGGTATCACATTGTTTGCCTAACTATATTGTGATGTTTTGTTGACTTTTTATGCATTGCTATAGTATGACGTTTCTATGACATTTTATGACTCACTATGGAATCACACTTTTAATACTTTTTATGCCTTAATATACTATGACGTTTTTTGAGATTTTTATGTCTTATTATACTATAACGTTTTTATGACTATTTATGCCTAACTATACTATGATGTTTTATGACTTTTTATGCCTTACTATTCAATGACATTTTCTGCATCACTACATTGTGACGTTTTTGTGACTTTTTATGACTTTTTATGAATTAAAATACTACGACGTTTTTATGAATTTTTATGCCTTACTATAGTATGACGTTTTTATGACTTTTTATGCCTTACTATAATATGACGTTTTTTGACATTTTTTTGCCTTACTATACTATGTTTTTATGAATTTTTACGCCTTATTATAGTATGACGTTTTATGAATTTTTAGGCGTTACGATACTATGACGTTTTATGCTTTACTATACTATGATTTTTCATTCCTTACTATACTATGACGTTTTTATGACTTTTCATGCCTCACTATAATATGACGTTTTTATGACTTTTCATGCCTTACTATACTATGATGTTTTCATGACTTTTTATGCCTTACTATACTATGATGTTTTTATGACTTTTCATGCACTAACATACTATGATGTTTTTATGACTTTTCATGCCTTACTATACTATGATGTTTTCATGACTTTTTATGCCTTACTATACTATGACGTTTTTATGACTTTTTATGCCTTACTATACTATGACGTTTTTATGACTTTTTATGCCTTACTATACTATGACGTTTTTATGACTTTTTATGCCTTACTATACTATGACGTTTTTATGACTTTTTATGCCTTACTATACTATGACGTTTTTATGACTTTTTATGCCTTACTATACTATGACGTTTTTATGACTTTTTATGCCTTACTATACTATGACGTTTTTATGACTTTTTATGCCTTACTATACTATGACGTTTTTATGACTTTTTATGCCTTACTATACTATGACGTTTTTATGACTTTTTATGCCTTACTATACTATGACGTTTTTATGACTTTTTATGCCTTACTATACTATGACGTTTTTATGACTTTTTATGCCTTACTATACTATGACGTTTTTATGACTTTTTATGCCTTACTATACTATGACGTTTTTATGACTTTTTATGCCTTACTATACTATGACGTTTTTATGACTTTTTATGCCTTACTATACTATGACGTTTTTATGACTTTTTATGCCTTACTATACTATGACGTTTTTATGACTTTTTATGCCTTACTATACTATGACGTTTTTATGACTTTTTATGCCTTACTATACTATGACGTTTTTATGACTTTTTATGCCTTACTATACTATGACGTTTTTATGACTTTTTATGCCTTACTATACTATGACGTTTTTATGACTTTTTATGCCTTACTATACTATGACGTTTTTATGACTTTTTATGCCTTACTATACTATGACGTTTTTATGACTTTTTATGCCTTACTATACTATGACGTTTTTATGACTTTTTATGCCTTACTATACTATGACGTTTTTATGACTTTTTATGCCTTACTATACTATGACGTTTTTATGACTTTTTATGCCTTACTATACTATGACGTTTTTATGACTTTTTATGCCTTACTATACTATGACGTTTTTATGACTTTTTATGCCTTACTATACTATGACGTTTTTATGACTTTTTATGCCTTACTATACTATGACGTTTTTATGACTTTTTATGCCTTACTATACTATGACGTTTTTATGACTTTTTATGCCTTACTATACTATGACGTTTTTATGACTTTTTATGCCTTACTATACTATGACGTTTTTATGACTTTTTATGCCTTACTATACTATGACGTTTTTATGACTTTTTATGCCTTACTATACTATGACGTTTTTATGACTTTTTATGCCTTACTATACTATGACGTTTTTATGACTTTTTATGCCTTACTATACTATGACGTTTTTATGACTTTTTATGCCTTACTATACTATGACGTTTTTATGACTTTTTATGCCTTAC